TAATTTTGATTTTTATAATAAAATGGGACTTGAATCTGTTTATTGGTTTTATGATGGAGAATTTATACCGAAGTACCCTTAGCGCCTTTGTCTATAAGAGAACCTAGTGGAAGAGTGTGAGGAGCTTATGTGGGCTATAAGTTTAGTTAAGTTTAATGTGAATTATTACAATAATCTATAATATATTGAAATTGAATCTGAAATTTTACTTTTCTTTTGTTGATTGGCTTTAACGTTACTTTCACCTTTCGTGTTGGAACAACACTTCAGTTTTCAATCATTAATGCAGCTCGTCCTGTTTGACCTGGAAAACGTTCCCACGTTCGTGGAGATAATAGAGAAGATTTCATTACGCCTCTGATTTGAATTATACAACCTGATTTANCTATAATATATTGAAATTGAATCTGAAATTTTACTTTTCTTTTGTTGATTGGCTTTAACGTTACTTTCACCTTTCGTGTTGGAACAACACTTCAGTTTTCAATCATTAATGCAGCTCGTCCTGTTTGACCTGGAAAACGTTCCCACGTTCGTGGAGATAATAGAGAAGATTTCATTACGCCTCTGATTTGAATTATACAACCTGATTTATACAGTCATGCACAAAATTGATGATTATAATTTATGAGTCGAACTGCATTTATGGTTAGGAATTAAATTACAAATACTACGCTTTCGATCCGCATAAAAAAATTATTTCATTTTATTCGAAGTCGACCTCAGTACAATTCACGAATAGATTTTAGCTTTTTAAATTTGAACTTCGTCAATGGGCTGGCAGAAGAGAAAAGTCAAGTTTATTGTTATTCTTTATTCAACTTTCACCTTCTGTCACATTTGATATTTTTTCGGTTTTGTTATACTTGAAAATTCTCTTTTTATGGTTACGAATCTGGAACAACAAAATTCGTGGAGTCAAAATTGAAACAGTGGGTTGCTCTGATGTCGCGAGATCCATTTGATTATATTCGATGGAGTGTCAGCCAAGCGATAGCAAAAAATTGTTCAAAGTATCGGACTCAAAATGTAAGCGTGCGAGGAAGAAACGGGAGGGACAAGACAACGCCAATGATGAAATATCTAGTGTAAGTTTCTTAGCCAGTAGTATCTGGGGCCGTATTATATAATTTGTAACTAAACTAAATTAGAACCGCTTAGATGCTGGTGATAGGAGGTGAACGTCATCTTTTATTAAACCCATGTATAGATAAAATGGTATAGAGAATTTTCTAGTCTAGTTAGGTCTAGTCACACACGGTTCTGTGGCCCCAAATTAAGTTTTACTATGGGAAATATTAAGATACTATTACTAAGAAATATTAAGATATAAGATACATACTAAAAATATACTTATTAGAAGACGGGCGTAAAAACGAATATTTGACAGAGGTTTTTTTTTTTTATTGCTTAGATGGGTGGACGAGCTCTCAGCCCACCTGTTGTTAAGTGGTCACTGGAGCCCATAGACATCTACAATGTATTTGCCGCCACCCACTCACCCATCGGTATAGTTACAACGGCAACGTTCAAACCGAAACGCATTACTGCTTCACGGCAGAAATAAGCAGGGTGGTGGTACATACCCGTGCGGACTCACAAGCTTTCCTACCACCAGGAATTACGCAAATTATAATTTTGCGGGTTTGATTTTTATTACACGATGTTATTCCTTCACCGTGGAAGTCAATCGTGAACATTTGTCAAGTTCGTATTTCATTACAAAAATTACCACACCCCTGCGGGATTCGAACACCGTTGCAATGCTAGATACGAATGCAACGGATGTCTTATCCTTTAGGCCACGACGACAAGTGTAAACTGAAGTTCTGCGAAGGGTTTGGTTCATATTGTTTTCACGATGAGGAGTGGGTACCTACATGGTTAGTGATAATTTGAAAATAAAGTTTAAACTCCAGTATATCTCCAGGGTTCCCAAGCTACCATGTGTAGAGTCAATTCTGCCAAGCCAAGCCTACAGGAGTTGTTTGTTGCCCAAAATTCCGAAGGACGGTCTGATGTCAAAAATGTGAAAAGGTTCAGTATATATATCTCTGTCTGATATTGGTTTTTTTTATTTATAGCTTAGATGGGTGGACGAGCTCACAGCCCACCTGGTGTTAAGTGGTTACTGGAGCCCATGGACGTCTACAACGTAAATGCGCCACCCACCTTGAGATATAAGTTCTAAAGTCTCAGTATAGTTACAACGGCTGCCCCACCCTTCAAATCGAAACGCATTGCTACTTCACGGCAGAAATAGGCAGGGCGGTGGTATCTACCCGAGCGGACTCACAAGAGGTCCTACCGCCAGTAACGCCAGTAAAAATGAAAATAACAGTACCTACATGTTTTGAAAAAAATAAATATTAACCCTTTGACTTCCATGTAGGTCACCGGTGCCCTACGCGGCGCACTGAAGTCATTATGTCGATTTCTGTTACTAAGCGCCTGGATTGCCTTCTTTTGTTTTTAATGTATGTTTACACATGGTCTCTGTTTTACTGGTCCGTTTTATCGGATACGTTTTTTTTCATCGATGGAGCATGGAGTCGTATGAGCGACTTCACATATGGTACAGTATTCAGTGTGCTTAGTGCGAGTTTCCTAACGTTCTCGATAGATAAAAGTTAAGCTAATTTTGTATGCAGTTGGAACAGCGCCCCTAGCGGCAAACGTACGCAAACGATCCGATTTCAGTACAAATATGAGTTAACTTTTACGCTATCGAGAACGTTAAAAAACTCGCACTAAGCACACAGTATACAGTAAAAAAACGATCCGGTAAATTATGATATTATGTTTTGTCATCGAATACTGGATGAACGGAATACGTATCCGTCATGTTTCCGTACGATTTTACCGGATAGAAACTGTGCGGGAGTGAAGGGGCCGGCGGGCGGTGCAGCTAGACTAAGTTTCACCATAGCAGTTTTTTTCCCTACCTATGCTGATAACCTTGAGAGGCTATTTCAGCTTCACCCTAACGTGTGTAGGTGAGCTCACGGGGCTCAAACCGGAGAGTTGCTAACACTGACCCTAGCAAGAGCAGTGCTTCGCAGAATCTACCACCGGATCGGAAACGCGACCCACTGAGAAGATCCGGCGAGAAACTCATGTCTATGGGTTAATTCGCTCGTCGAGTCCTTCGTCGCAAGCGACGGGTTCGACGAGGGCGGTGACCGGTGTTTGTGGTGCCTAAAAGCACCGTTAATGGATCAGGAGGATCCGTAATGAGTATAGCGGCGGCTTACTACGAATTTGCTTGTGAACATCGTATCCAGCAATGACGGATACGTTGAACGTTATACGGTGCCTATGTGTGAACAAAGCATAACTTTTTGTCGTATCCGTTAAAACGGGTACCGTATACACGGAGACTATGTGTGAACGTAGCCTTAGTCTGAGAAATAGATTCTTTCTCAGTATCTTCAGGTTCGTTTTTCCCAGAGTATACTAGATATTACGGCGCCTTAGTAACATATATCGATATAATTACTGTAAGGCACTGATGACTTACATGACAGTCAAATGGTTAAGGAGCTCATATTGTGCTTCCTTTGACGTACAATTTATATATTACGACGAATCTTACATATGATTCTAAATAGGGAATTGAGCAGTCCATCTTTGGCTCCATCTCCAATGAACGAACATCGATCATTCCGATCACCGAGACGGCATCGACGATCAACGTATGTTTTCTCTGTAGAATCTATACTTCTATACTAATATTATAAAGAGGAAAGATTTGTTTGTTTGGTTGTATTGAATAGGCTCCGGAACTACTGAACCGATTTGAAAAATCCTTTCACTGTTTGGAAGCTACACTATTCCCGAGTGACATTGGCTATAATCTTTTTTGAAAAAAATTAGAGATCCTTACTAAAACTCAAATAATGTAATCCAAGGTGTAAAAAAATTACCAAAAATTTTAATATTCTGTACATCGTGTGCTCTGTGAAAACTATTGATGATAGAATAAAATAATGTAGGTACCACAACTTTGTAGAACACATTATTATTTACAAAAAGTGTCGCGACAGCATATATCTTAACTATTACAGTTATGCCGCAAGAAGTGTTCTTTTATTTAAAAAAACAAAACAACGTCAAATATTGTTGAATTTTTTGTTAAAGACCCGAGCGGAGTCGGAGCGGGCCGCTAGTAATGTGAATAAATAGATAGATTGACCAATGGTTACATTTGTGTTTGTAATATCTTGCCTCCATAACGTGAATGCAGAACTTAGCAGACGTCTGATTTGTCTCTAAAAGATTACTCAGTACAAGCATAAAATCTTGAAATTGGATAGAAAGATTCATGTGACGTAAAAATCGGCATCCGTATTTCTTTAAATATAAATTATTGCTGTTATTACCTATTGATAATGAGCTAATATAGCATGTAGTTTATTTACTCTCACGTTAGCGGGAAATTTGGATTTAGAAATAAATAAGTCAATCACACAATTTTATAAACGCTTATGATGTTTTAGTAGGTTACAGTACATTATAATATTAAAAGTAAAAGGAGGAAAGGAAGCTAGACACTAGGATATAGTAATTACAATATATTCCGAACAAATCCGCCGCAAGACTTGGATCCCGGTAACCGTACTCGTCGAACTCGACAAAGAGGTCGACGTGCAACCTAACCCACGCATCAGCCCGCTGAGTTTCTCGCCGGATCTTCTCAGCGGGATGCGATTTCAATCTGGTAGTAGGTTCATCCGCAAAGCAGCTGCTCTTGAGTAGTTAGGTCGCCTTCGGAGGTGCTCGGGCAGCTGTTAGCAAATCTCACCCCTCCGGGCTGAGTCCTTGCTCGCCCACCTGTCCTGGTAAAACTGTAGAGGCCTTCGGGCCACCAGTAATCAATAAATCCTAAAAAAAATTGGAAAATGTGTAGAAAATGTGTTATTTATTAAACTGGGTATTTTATGTTTTAAATTTAACATAATTTCAGACGGGATGGCATTTCACTTGCTCTGAAAGCTGGAATGGTTTCAACGCCTCGATCCATCTCTCCTAATCAAGTAAGATTTGGAAGTGTGTGCCTGTGTGTGTGAGTGCGTATATGCGTGCGTGTTGGAACGAAGTTCCTTATGGGACGATGCGGAGGGGTACCCTAACCGGGAAAAAACGTCCGTAACATAAGATTTTTATTAGTAATGCACACAGTGTACGACTTAACTTTGTAATAACGTACAAAAAATGACATATTTTTTTATTTTCTTTATACCTCGAATAGAACTTAAAATTAATATTTTTAGAATAAGGAACTTCGTTCCTATCCGGTGTCCCACGACACCACACACCTTTTTATTTTTATTGTTTTAGCTTTGGAAAGCCTTTTCTATTTTATTTTTATAATTTTCAGGAAGGTGACGGCGGCATTGATTCTGTACCTCGAGATCAAGACTCCTTCATTTATGCATTCCTCGAGGAAGCTATTAAAAGGGATAAGAAAAAGTATGCTTCTAATGATGAGAGACCCCGTGAACTATAAGTAGAAATATCTAAATTTGTTTACGAATGATGGAAATTCGAAAAAAATAATTTTGTTTTTTAAATTTTCTCTGTTGATATTTTAACGTGATTTAAAAAAAAAGGTTATTTCCAAAAAGAGTATTGATAAATTAAACTGTATATGTAGCTAGCGAATAAAGAAAAGGGAAAAAATCAGTTGGTGTGAACTCAGTGAGAGGAGAGTTTTCTGGATTTTGACAAGTTGTTCATTCTTTTATATTCCTTAGATGGGTAGACGAGTTCACGGCCCACCTCATGTTGAGTGGTTTCCGGAGCCCATAGACATCTACAACGTTGTGTGTTTAAATTTNATTGATAAATTAAACTGTATATGTAGCTAGCGAATAAAGAAAAGGGAAAAAATCAGTTGGTGTGAACTCAGTGAGAGGAGAGTTTTCTGGATTTTGACAAGTTGTTCATTCTTTTATATTCCTTAGATGGGTAGACGAGTTCACGGCCCACCTCATGTTGAGTGGTTTCCGGAGCCCATAGACATCTACAACGTTGTGTGTTTAAATTTTTGATTTCTCTTACACGGCTTTATACCTACCTTAAGTACGTATATCATTGGAAAAATTGACACAATATGCCCACGCAATTTGAATTTTTTTTTTTTTTTTTTATTGCCCTTGTAGGCAGACGAGCATACGGCCCACCTGATGGTGAGTGGTTACCGTCGCCCATGGACTTCAGCAATGCCAGGGGCAGAGCCAAGCCGCTGCCTACCGAATACCGGCACAGTCGCGAGTATACGAATACACCGAGCTTCTCGCGTTTAGGCTACGACGTTTTTTTCATTTACAAAACGTCCACAATAAAAGAGAAAATAGGTACAAAAAAACCTGTTAGGTTTCAACAACTTTAGTCGCTAATTTTGCGCGATTTCAATTGAATATGCAATTTCGAAAAGGCACATCTCTGAAAATGTAAATTGTTCAGGAAATGAAAAAAACTGATCATTTTCTAAAGCAGTGTAAAATTTAAAATATTAACTTTTGAGATATATTTTAGTGTTAATTAGCAATTGAAAATTACTGGAATTATTATAAAATGGGTGTAGGTAAGCCTCAAAACTACTTGTATATGAAAAAAACGTATTTGACAAAATATGCGACATGTGCCCTTTTCGAAATTGCATAAATTCAATTATACTACAAGTTAATTATGATTTTCCCTTAGGCAACGACACCGCAGACGTCACGATCGCCATGGAAGCTGTGAGCGAGAAGCCTCCACTCCTAGAGAGCACCGACGTCACCGACATAGACGGGACGACGTGCCTTCTAAAGAACGCGAAAAGTAAATACAATAAATATTGGGGCAAATAGCGTTTAAGTTTTATTGCTTAGATGTGTGGACGAGCTTACGGCCTACCTGGTGTTAAGTGGTTACTGGAGCCCATAGACATTTACAACGTAAATGCCGCCACCCACCTTGAGACATGAGTTCTAAGGTCTCACTTGCAACAGTACGATTGCCGCGCCCTTTAAACCGAAACGCATTATTGCTTTACGGCAGAAATAGGTTGTGGTTCCTACCCGTGCGCACTCACAAGACGTCCTACCACCAGTGATTACGCAAATTATAATTTTGCGGATTTGATTTTTATTACACGATGTTATTCCTTCACCGTAGAAGTCAGTCGTGAACATTCGTTAAGTACGTATTTTCATTTGCAAAATTGGTACCCGCCTGCGGGATTCGAACACCGGTGCATCGCAATACGAACGTACCAGACGTCTTATCCTTTAGGCCACGACGACTTTGGTCGGTAACCGGTGACATTTCGGTTAATACGCGACACATATCTTTGTAATTAAAGATGCGTTTTATTTGGTATTCGCATCAAGAATTCGTTGTTTTTAATTGAACATCAATTATATTTACTACATTCAATTATGTAGGTGAAGAAGTTATTTTGTCTTGAAATTTTTTCCAAAATTTAAATTTTAAATGGCTCTTCTGTGAAATTACACAAAATGTTGCTTTAACCAAATAGTCTTTAAATCGTCGAAATTGTATCTAAGCAAACGTAATGCAAATATTGAAGTTCACGGTAAAAAGATTATGAACTGGATTTTCAGGCCAACTAAGGACGTATCTCCGTCGCCGGGGATTGATCAGACTGCACTTTTCGAGACGTTTGCGAAGTTGTGCGCTCAGATGAACGATAAGAAAATATTTCCAGTGGTAATAATGCAAGTTTTTATTTATTGCTTACATGGTTGGAGGAGCTCACAGCCCACCTGGTGTTAAGTGGTTACTGGAGCCCATAGACATCTACAACGTAAGCGCGCCACCCACCTTGAGATATAAGTTCTAAGATCTCAGAATAGTTACAACGGTTGTCCCATCTTTCAAACCGAAACGCATTACTGCTTCACGGCAGAAATAGGCAGGGCGGTGGTACCCACCCGCGCGGACTCACAAGACGTCCTACCACCAGTAAAAAGTGTGCACCAGAAGTGCATTCTTTGTTACAAAACTGTTTAAATTTTTGCCATTGAATTGACTCAATTTCGGGTTTTGTTACAGCCACGAACGCAAAGCCACAAATCTCTACAGTGTGAAGTGACGCGACGCGACTCTTACAACGTTGACCGGAGCCACGAGCGGTACAAGAGCCACGATAGATCTAGGGACAAGATCGAGTCGAACAGATCGAGGTGTCACGATATCTATCCAGATGTATCTCGAAGCAAGGGTAGAATCGACGAACGGATTATCGATAGATGCGCCTCGTGCTACTCGAAAGATATTCCCAAATATGCGAGCAAATTAGCAGTGAAGCATTCAAAAATGGAGAACGATGATCGATATCCCGGACGCGACAGTCCCAGGAGCGAGTACGATCGTTACAGACAACCGGAGCGAGACACAGACTACACGGATAAACGAAGATATTTTGAACAGAAAGCTTCTAGGAGCTTTGAGGTGAATCGAAATGATGATAGATGCAGACGAACGTCCAGGAGTGATAACACTAGGAGATACGACGAGGGAAGCGATTGTAAGAGATACGTTGGAAGAGATGGCGAGAGGGACAGGAAGTATGATGAGAGAAAATACATTGAGAGATCCAAGTATTGTGATAGAAAACCGATTGAAAGTCGTCTGTCTGTCGCCGAACAGAGAAGCAGGAGGAACTACGATAGAAATTCTGTGGAATCTCGCGAGGACGAAGGCAGGGATAGATACTCGGAGAGAGAAAGAGATTCGGGGCTTAGCGTGGCCGACGGAGAGACGAGCACTGCGAGCGGGAAAAGTAATTATTTGAGATTTGTCAAGGTTCGTTTTGTTTCCAAAGACTTAAACAATAACAAATTTAGTTAAAGCCAGCAGCAGACTGCAAGTTGGACAAGCCTTTTAGGGTCTGGGATTTGTATCACGTCATGTACACACAGTTAATATAATACAATAATGGCGAAAAGTTTTAAAATGGCGAGCTTAACTCAACAATTGAGTTATCTACCGGTTAACCGTTCTTAAAGAGGGAGAGCTTTACAAAAGTGGATAGAAGAGAACAATCTAATCAATATTGATACAATACACAATAATAATAATAATAATATACACTATAAAAAAATTAAAAATAAAAACACTAATACATAACATGATGATGATCATGATGCTACGTGTTTAGGTATTATCCTTAAACTAAAGAATCCCTTGTTTTTCCACAAACGTCCGATTCCCTTGCCGAAATAAGTATCAGGAAGGGGCTAGAGCTGGCTTTAGCTGGCACAGTGCTTGACAACGCTGAATAAAGCATTTTGTTTGATTATAATATGTCCATTTCGTGCAAAGGTATATCCAAGTGCTCTTCGAATAAGTTGTCCCATTTCTCCCACCTTCGATATTTGGCGTTTGGGGCCAGATGATTATATTTATTAGATAAATATAAATTGATGCTAAAAAATTCTATCATCACATTAAGTTCCTTCTTTAAACTTCTTCAACCGAGGCTTGTGGAGAGTACATAACGGCAGGCAGCGGCTTGGCTCTGCCCTTGACATTGCTAATGTCCATGAGCGACGGTAACCTCTCACCATCAAGTGGGCCGTGTGCACGTCTGCCCACAAGGTCAATAAAAAATTTATAAGAATATTTTTGTTTTTAGCAAGAAATCACAGAGCAAAGAGAAGCAATGGATAAAATGATGAAATTGTGGAAGGAACTAATGAGGTGCTTTAAAGGGGTCTCACAAACTCCAGGACCAGATAAAAGTGTTCACGTTAGTTTTATTGGAGCTTTGTCTATCCACGATCAACGATAATCACGCTTTTGTTACAAGCTTTTATCATTAATCTTTGCTTCACAGTGTTGTTGTTGTAACTCTTGTTACTTTCCGTGTTGTATTAAGATTTGTTTAATGTAACTGTTTCTTGGTATTCTTTATCTATTTAGTTCATCTTCATGCTTCAGAACGGTTCTCTTAAATCCGCAATTAAGGTGATTGACTTTTTAATTTATGAAATAATAATAAAAGTTATGTGAAGACGATATCTTTAGTTTGCTATTGTATAAACATTGAGAAATTAATGGTAAATGTTGATAAAATGGTAAATGGTGGCACCCTTGCCATTTTTAGTTTTTATCGTAACAACAAAAATATAAATGTTCACGATTTGATCCGGCTCGAAGAACCAAAAATGTTAGTTTTGTTCCGTAGGTACCACCACCCTGCCTATTTCTGCCGTGAAGCAGTAGGTAATGGGTTTTAGTTTGAACGCTTTGGAATAGCCGTTGTACTGTAAAAACTAAAACTCATATCTCAAGGTATGTTGCGGCATTTACTTTGTAGATGTCTATGGACTCCGATAAGCACTTAACAATCCGTGTGGGCCGTGAGCTCATCCAAACATCTAAGTAATAAAGATAAAAAAAGGGGAATATTACCGACACAAACGCGTTATAATTGTGAACACATTGCAATAGCGCAGTAGTTTGGATGCAGTGTAACCAAATTGTATGCGCGTTTAGGAGTCCGCGTCCAATGTCCGCGAGTCGGCAGCGGCGCACCTGCGGCTGTGGCGCGAGTGCATGCGGCGCTACGAGACTGTCGCCAGAGACGTGGGAGACACTGACGCCAGACTTATGGTTACCACATACCACGCATTGCTTAATCTTTGTTTTTGTTGTACTACCCACGTCCGCCCCGTACCTCCTTATCGCCCACGTAACGTCTCTTCTTCAACACGCGTCCATCCAATGCAGAGTTTTGGTCTCATAGAATGCACCACATTCTCTTCTAATCCACAATCTAATCCACTATCCTTCTACGTAACGTAATGTGAACCAATAATGCGCACTACAAAAATTATACTCGTCGTGTAAAACAGTAATATCATTGTTCGAATCGAAAATTTTGATGAGCAATCAGCAGAAAGGTGGTCAATATGAGCCGCCAATATCGACAGCAAATGAAAATTATTGGCGATCCTACGTGGTCGCTGTCCCAAATTTATTTTCCAACAGCACAAGTGCTGCGAAATTTAAATAAAACATAAATAATATTTAGTGGAAATAAAAATTAAACTTTTTTTGGCATACCCTCAGAATATTAGGCCAAAAAATAAAATTATACGGCCTTTGATTATACAATAACATTGCGTTGAGTTATTGGGTTAGATAGATAAATACGGTCCAATACAAGTCTTTGTTACCTTAAATTATAATACATATAAATATAAGCACTATGCGTCACACAATGCGTCAATGAGAAAAATATTGAATATTTAATGAAACAAAGTATTGTTTTATATTTTAATTAACAGGAGGAAATAAACAAGCAACGCTCCGAGATGGCAGAGATGGCGTCGATGTGGCAGGAGTGCTTGCAGCGCTATCGAGACATGAGCAACGATTTCAATAACTTAAAACAGAAGGTATGCTTAGATGGGTGGACGAGCTCACAGCCCACCTGGTATTAAGTGGTTACTGAAGCCCATAGACACCTATAACGAAAATGCGCCACCCACCTTGAGATATAAGTTCTAAGGTCTCAGTATAGTCACAACGGCTGCCCTACCCTTCAAACCGAAACGCATTACTACTTCACGGTAGATATAGGCAGGGCAGTGGTACCTACCCGCGCGGACTCAAAAGGCCAAATTTTGAATTTACCAATAAAAACAAGATTTCTTGAGAACAAGAGATCTTGTAAAATTTTCATTAATTGTATGGACAGTTAACAACGCCGGAAAGTCCGACTCGTTTACCGGCGCCTCCCGCGACTTGTGCCGAGGGCGAGGTCAATGCACCCGCTGCGCCGTACCGAGTACCGCCGAACTACCCACAAGTAAGATTAATTCGTATACACTGTCACATCACCTTTGATTTTTCTCACATTACAATTTGTATTTGGTAGGTTTTTGATAGATACAATTAGTTAATTGTAAACCGGTTGGTTTGGTGAGTTTGTACATCGTGAGCTGTGTATAATGAGTAGAGGTCGGATAGGTAGGTTGTTGACGTCAAACGTAGAGGATAATATGGATATGCCTCCAAAATACCGGAACTTCATATTTATTGTGATATTTGTTCCGGAATTTTGAAATTACCATGAATCTGTGTAACTGAAAAACGTATTAATAATATTAATCTACGCTACCAGTGCTAGCTGATGGTGAAAGAAATCAGTATTTTATTTAATAAAAAAAACTTTGGAATAGTTACACCGTATTTTGTCCCTTTCTGTTGAATTAAAAATGACGCTTGTCAGTATGAGACAAAACTTAGACAGGGCTTTTTGTTACTTTATGTCATAAATATAGAAATTGTATATAATGAGAATAAATTTAAAAATATATTATAATTATGGATAAAATGGCATGTCCATATTATAATTTCTTGACGCAAGTATATAATCAATCTACCCACTCCGACCACTGATAATGAGCGACCATGGTCTGGCGTATTATCAGATTTTCATTAGTGATACATTGACGACATTTTGGTACCCTCTGCGAAATTTCTAGAACTGCAATTTTTTGACAACTTTTATTTATTAAAAAATATATTTATGTAGCTGTCAAGTAATAATAGACATGTGAATTTTCCCGATGCTGTTGTGTAATTTGTGTATTCCAGTTCCAGGCGGCCGGTCGTGGGGCGTGGACTGGGAGCGCGGGTCCGGGGTCGGCGCTGCGGGGGCGCGCGTCGGTCCCGCCGTGGTGGTGGGGCGAGCCGCCGCGCTCCCCGCGCAGACGCTCCTCGCCGGACTCCCGCGGCTCCGGCGGCTCCCGGGAACGGAGGCACCGACATAAAGATAAAAGTAACTATAGTGGAATTGTTTTGTCCGTGCAGTTTGCGTCATAAAAAATCGGAGCGATGAAGCGAGTATTTCGCTCTCTCTTCCACTCAATGGACGGGTATAGTGATGCGCGTTATTGTTGTCGATAAGCGTTATCGATAGTGTATTTAGTTTTGTCAGTTTGTGGGTTAGTGATAAAAATGAAAGTAAAAATCACTAATCGAACACTACATTACACTGGTGGTAGGACCTCTTGTGAGTCCGCACGGGTAGGTACCACCACCCTGCCTATTGCTGCGGTGAAGCAGTAATGCGTTTCGGTTTGAAGGGTAGGGCAGCCGTTGTAACTATACTTGAAACCTTAAAACTTATATCTCAAGGTGGGTGACGCATTTACGCTGTAGATATCTATAGGCTCCAGTAACCACTTAACACCAGGTGGGCTGTGAGCTCGTCCAACCATCTACGCAATAAAAAAAAGGCAGCGACATGGCTCTGCCCCTGGTATTGCTGACGTCAATGAGCGACGGTAACCACTTACTATCAGCTTGCACGGGCAATAAAAAAATCGTGAAGCCAGAACAAAGTTATTTGGTAGTTACTAATATCGTGCGCAATATAGTGATGTATCTATCCAGCAAAAAAATAAAATTCAAAAAATTTCAACAACTATATAATTATTACAATTTTTTTATAAATCAGCATCAATTAAAAAATTGTGTTAATGATGTTAATTATTTTTCAATCTGCACAACTCTGTTGTCCACTGACGATATAAGTTTAATTTTTTATTTATCTCAATTTCAGATGAGTCCCGTTACAAGGAAAAGTCCAAGCCGAGTGGGGCTCGATCAGAGCACAGACATAACAATAGAAAGAGATGAGCGAACCACAAGCACACTATGAAGTATACCAAAAAAAAAACATACAATATTTTTTAAGTGTTAACGTGCATTTGTTTTCGATAATTTATACTGTCAAGTTTTGGATATTTGTAACTATTAATTTTTTAAATACCTGTTTTAGTCACTAATAAATATGATTGAAAATCCATTGGGTGTTTTTTTTTTATAGTTTCTGCGTTTTTTGACTTTCCTTTTACTACCTAAATAGGTAAATGTTAGGAGTCTAAGGCTATTCCATTTTTTTGCGAATGGGTAGGTGAGCTCACGGGCTCAATCTAAGAGAATTTGCTAACACTAGCAAGGACTGGTTCGCAGAATCTACCACCAGATTGGAATTGCGACCTTCTTAAAAGATCTGACGAGAAACTCTGGTATAAAAATGCTTTACGCGCACTCCTCGTATCGTTGCTGCAATAATTAATTTGAGAGTATAATTCTTCGATGTTATCGCGTCGAGAATCTATTGGACCATTGGTTTTATTTTGATTCTAATTAAGTGAAAATATTGCCTTCATTGTGAAAGTCTGTAAATGTGATTTAAGTGCGAATTTTATTCGTTAATTAGAAAATTAATTATTATCTGCCTCCGGGATTGGAACATCGGCATAGCAACGTAAGATAAAATAAATAGTATAGCCCACATTGGAGTCGAATGGCCAAAAATAGAGAATATTGAAAATCTGCAGAGCAGGTCTTTGTCAGACAAACTGTGTCAAACAGACAAGCTGTTTTGAAAACCACACCGAACGCCAAACGCAATACTTGATAAATTGGATTTAAATTTGTTATTATTAAGTAATTTATTAAGTTAATAATTATTAAGTAAAACAGCAATAAAGGCTTATTTTATTTTTATTTTCTAGTAACGTAGCTGGATACGAGAACACTGGGTGACTTACCTATTAGGCCACGACAACAACACTACAAGACTTTGACTTAAACATACAGATCAATGACATGAGTCATGTGGCATCCCTGGAAATATTTCAAATTTTTAACGTCACATATTACCTCGACACTAGATAGGTCATCGAAGTAAGTTGTAGTGGAGGACTTCCTTCACCGCTTCAAATTGCCCGACGATGTTAGGGAACTACTCTTGAGTTGTTAGGTTTCCTTTGGAGGCGCTCGGGCAGTTGTTAGCAAATCCCACTCCTCCTGGCTCAGCCCTTTCTCGCCCACCTGCCCTAGTAACACTGGAAAGCCCTCCGGGTCACGAGTAATCTCTCAAACATAAAAAAAAACAAAAATGTTTGATGGTAAAATTAATAAAACAACAAAATTATATATTTTCACGTTCTTTAATAGAACAAATCCGTTATAAACTGTCTATACAATAATATGTAAACATGTAAACACATCACGAATTCGCTTATCAGTACTTTGTCGTTTTAATCAAAAAACGGCAAAATCTTTTCAAAAAAACTCTGTGTTACAAAATAAAATTCGTCAGACTAATACAATACGATATTTGGGGCCGTCAGCGCAAAAGTGTCCTAGTCCACAATTCATATTCGTGCTTATGTATCGCAATTTATTTAAAACATATTATATATAAATTTTAATGCAAAATCGGCCTATCCCTAGTTTCATCCGTAGATAGCAGATGACTTTGTAAACATCATTTTAACGCGTATTTTTTTTGCCTACGAAGTATTGTAAAGGATTAATTAACCTTCGAACTTCATCATCTCCATACTAACTACAGTAAGCTTAGGCCATTTTTGCGCTGACGGCCTTATTTGTGCTAATATTCTACGTCATACGTATTATCGCATAATATTTAATAGTCTATTCAACTAATTAATAACATGAAATGTGTTTCTTCATGAATTCTACTGTTGAGACGATTGGGTTAAAAAACTATCGCTTAGTTTTTATCTGGCCCGTTTCTTTCAAGACGGTCCCTCGTGCAAACGATTGTTAGTAGCCCATCGTTCCAAACAGTCTAAAAGTTGTATTAATGCAATAGAAACAGCAATTTGTGTTTGGACGAAAAAATCGCTCTCATTTTTTTTTTAATATCTCAATATTTCCAACAAATCACTAACGGTGATGACCCGTGACCGCACGTCCATTACGTACGAGTTTTTTTCTAAGCTAATATAATAACTTCAAAACTAACGTAGCATATGTTTTCGACATCTTGCATGGCCGGGGAATATATTTTTACTAGAATTACCGAGACGGAAGTTTATCCCATTAAGATCCCGATATACAGAATGTCTGAAAATGGCTATATCGATTCTTATTAAATACATACATCCAAATTTCATTAACTTGGTGGCATCTATCAAAATATTTCATTCTATTTTTGCTGTAACCAATAGATGTTTGTAACGCCATCTAGTATAATTCTGTGGTAACAATATAATATTCATATTACTAATATGAATAAATTCTGCCGTTTTGATACAAAACAAAGGAGTAGCCATTGTGTCACTAAAGAAATTCAGAGAACGAATGCATAATAACACATTTCCCTTAGACATAATGTACTATAATTTGCAGGTAAGTGACAAATGACTCATAAAATAACAATGTCTCACCACCCTTCGTATACCACCCCGCCACCGTGTAACCTGCCTTTGATTACTCATTTGTTTTTATAGATAATGGCGTTGCGCCCGCGCAACAAGCTCACCGCCCTAGTCGGGCTATGTTTTATGACCCAAACTGCACGGACAAAATAATTCTACTAAAGGTTTTAAGTAGTCATTATGAGACTACTTCAAAAATCTACGAGATGGCGTTACAAAACATGTTTTTATTGTGTCTAAAATGGCGTTTTTTTTTTTTGTAAAGAGATAAAAGGATAGGGGTAAACTTTAAAAACAAAACTTGATTCGAATCGTTTCAGAGATGCAAGAAATACATATAGGTAGTAATCACGCGTTACATATATTAGAAGAGATAGATTTATGAAACTATAATATACTATGCGATAATACGGCCAATAAAATAACTACTATGGAAGAATGTTTTGTGCCAATGACCGTGTGAATAAGTGAATTGAACTACATTTTCTTCGCGTCAAATTTTTCATTTAAAAACAGTCTATTCGGGAATGAATGGCTAATGATATTGTCATTGACAATGAATAAGTAAACTTGAAGAGATAAGTTACATTTTTTTTTTGTAAATTCTGTATGCTTAGTGCGAGTTTTTTAACGTACTCGATAGCGTACGAGTTAGCCCAATTTTGTATGCAGTTGGAACAGCGCCCCTAGCGGCAAACGTAGGCGAACGATCCAATTCCATACAAATATGAGCTAACTTTTACTTTTTACATTAAAAAACTCGCACTAAGCACAGTTATTCAAATATAACCAACATTATTATCCTACCGAATTAAAATAACCCTTTTAGGGAATGTACCCATACTACGTGACCCGTTTGGAGGGGGGGGAGTCTTTAAAATACTACGGTCAGTCACGGGAGCGGGTGGTGTCTCAGGTTTTTGTCACGTAGTCGATTTTAGTGAGAGAAATCTCGTATTTTTTCGACCTATATTCGAACATAGCGCGAACCAATTTTTTTTTTTTTTTTTCAGTGCAACAGAATGAAAATGCGTAAATACGATTCACTTATAACACGGTCGTGTCACATGCGTAATTCAATTAATCATTCGTTTGTATATGAAATAATATTTGCGTTTCAGTCTCCTGTATAAACTCTCCAGTCATTCGATGCCCAAAAAACGTTCGGGCAAGAAGACTGTACACACATATGGACCGTACACATAATCAAATACTGCCCTGAGAAGTGTAACATTTCTTTGACATAGAACTGATAGAACTGCCATGTCAATGTTTAAGAAGTATCAATCAATATAGGTAATTTTTTTTATTGCACTAAACGCGTTAGGTGATTCTGATGATTCTAGTATTTTTTTTAATTTTTTTTTTATTGCGTAGATGGGTGGATGAATTCACAGCCCACCCGGTGTTAAGTGATTACTGGAGCCCATAGACATCTACAACGTAAATGCGCCACCCACGTTGAGATATAAGTTCTAAGATATAGTTACAACGGCTGCCCCACCCTTCAAACCGAAACGCATTACTGCTTTACGGTAGAAATAGGCAGGGTGGTGGTACCTACCCGTGCGGACTCACAAGAGGTCCTACCACCAGTATAATTTTAACAAATGCAGGCAGCTAAAATTTTAACAAATGTTTAAAGTCTCTATTTAACAACTGATTGTAATAACATCTTTTAAAATACCCGAATATGATCACCATATCACCACTAGCTTATAGTATACGGAAATTGTTTGTAAGCAAATCAAATTTTATGAGAAGTCCATATAAAATTTCACCGGTAGTTGATAATAATTTGTTTTATCACACTTCTTAAGACAGTAAGTAATCTTTAATTAACTATATTATATTATATAATAAAACTATGAATATTCTAAATTTTATGAGAATATTTTGACTAAAAATACACAATTGACGATAAAATTGCGTCAATTTTTTTTTTATACAAAAAAGTAGATATTTTAGAGAAAAAATCGGGTTCTTAAATTAGGTTCAATAGTGGAGTAATTAGACTAATTGGATTTGTAATTTAACACGACAACAAGAATAATTGAGTGAAAGTACACGAGCTTAATATGTCAAAGGTAAAGCAATGTCTCAAATCGACTCAAATAGTTCAAAATGTTTAGAAAAAACAACAAAATTTCTACCTTACTAAGATACTATCCCGTGTTATTTAATATAAACATGGCTGCCAGAACCAAACACCATAGTAATCCTCGAGGGCTCGACGAGTAAATTAACCCATAGACACAGCCCATTGAGTTTCTTGCCGGATCTTCTCAGTGGGTCGCGTTTCCGATCCGGTGGTAGATTCTGCGAAGCACTGCTCTTGCTAGGGTCAGTGTTAGCAACACACCGGCTTGAGCCCCGTGAGCTCACCTACACACGTTAGGGAGAAGCTGAAATAGCCTCTCAAGGCTATCAGCATAGGTAGGAAAAAAAGAAAGAACCGTTCCGTCACACTAATGAAAACGTGTATTTACGATTACAACTACAAATAAAAGCCACGCACGCTTGTACTTTGTCGGCTTGGTAAGTACATATTTTATGAAGAGCAGGGCTGTCCAAACAACAGCCCGTTTTCATGCTACCCGCGACCTATATTTTAATCAGAAAATAGTTTTGGATATAAATAGTTTGGATAATAGAATACTTTGACAAAACATATAATGTACGTTTGGTATAATTTATCTTTATTCTTGTAACATTCCATTCCCATGACATCATTTAAAAGTTTTAATATTATTGTGGGAATTCTGGAAAGTATTTATTACCCCTTGTTTTTTTTAACTTGTTTTTATTAAATATTTTTTCTGCACCCCTCCAGCTTTTGTAGTAAATTTAATTAGCCCGCAAAAGTATGTAGTTTAGACAGCCCTAATCTAGAGGGTAGGTAGCTGGCGTACGCACCATGCGTCGTACGAGGACAACGACCCCGTGCGTCAACTGAATTTAGTCTTACATTGCGTTTAATGTAAAACTATTTTTTTCTCTATTATCTTATTTAAAGTGTTGTCCGGTCCAAGGTTCCGTTACAAAACGGTCTTAGATGTTATAAATTCAAAGACAATCTCATCTTAACGCATAGCAATTTATGATAAAACCATTGTTCCTTCGTTGAGTTGCCTCGAAGAGCCCTTAACTATTCCCATTAAGTTTAAGATATTTCGTAGTTAAAATTCTATTTCAAATATTTGGTAACGAATTTTTATGTACAATGTACATAACTGCTATTGTATGTTGTCGTGGAAACCAAATTTTGTATATTATTTACGTAAATGTCAACAAATTGAGAACGAACCGCCGTAGTCAAACATACACAATCTTAAAGGTTTTTATTATTAAATATATATTATGACTTATATAATGACTGTATCGATATGCAGGTATGTGCAATTACAATTGTTTCACGTTGAACTGTAAGCTTGAGTTTTTGTTTTTTAATTCTTATCCCTGTTGTTGTTTTTTTTACTAGTCATATTATGTTGCGGTTTTAATTGGCTTTTATTAATTTAAGACCGCCAGTTGTTTTATTAATCTAAAGTAAAATGGCGGGAATTCGTTGAGACTTTTTAGAAGGATCGCGAAGCCGTGTCCCGCAATTCAATTTCCAATTAGTTTTCTTTTATTCTTTTTAGAACGGGCTCCGACAAAATTAATACAAAACGTCACTCGTCCCGCCAAAAACAGCTGTAGTTGCCAGGATAAAAAAAAAAGTATTTATGCGATTTCATATTTCAATCTCATCTCGATCGTAATGTTGCAAGCTAATATGCGTTTAATTAACATTAATTTCACGGTTTCTTTTCCAATACAAAAAAAAAAATAAGTTACAAAAACCGTAAAACACCTTTAACGAACCGGTACAATCGTAACTTAAACACACAAAGGAACTTAATTAATGTAAATTCAAATAACTAACTAAATTAAATTCATAGTCCCCAAAACGTAAATTTTTTTTTTTAAACAAATATAATAATAATATAGGTAACGTTACAATTTCGTTTAGATTTTTTTTATGGTCTTCCTATACATATACACAACAAGAGGTTAAACTAAACTTAAAATAAATAAGTTTAATTAGATCATAATAAGACACACCGTCCTTCTGCCACTCTTGACTCTGTTTTGTCACTATGGTCCTTGATGGTGCGATGGGCATCAGTAAACCTGGAATATTTACAAAGAATACAAATTAAAATGTAGCCGCGTATGCTCTGCGGTTAGGCGAAGACGTGATGCCATGGGACAACATCGTGAGGTCGAAACTCGTGGATGGAGTTGGTCCCTGCCCCTCCACATTAGGGGCATGGCTGAAGCACACAACACTTTTTTTGTTTTTTTTTTCTCCAACCTATGCTGATAGCCTTGAGAGGCTATTTCAGCTTCGCTCTACGTAGGTGAGCTCACGGAGCTCAAACCAGAAGTGTTGATAACATAGAGCAGTGCTTCGCAGAATCTACCACCAGATCGGAAACGCGACCCACTGAGAAGATCCGGCGAGAAACTCAGTGGGTTATGTTTATGGGTTAATTTACTCTTCGAGCCCTTCGTCGCAAGCGACGGTTTCGACGAGGACAGTGATCGGTGCTTGAGGTACCTAAAAGCACCGTTAATAAATAATAATAAAATAAATAAATATTTACTAACAATCACGCCACGTTAACTGGTCCCGTGATAAGTTCGTAAAGAACTTGTGTTACAGGTACCAGATAACGGAAATAAATGTAAGATTTTTATTATACACATACATATATTTAATATACATCCATAACCCTGGAAAAGACATTTATATTTATCATACAAATATCTTCCCTTGGCGGGATTCGAACCCGCGACCCCCTTGTGTAGTGACCATGTCACTTACCACTACACCAGACGGCCGTTAATGGATCGGGAGATCCGTAATGACGTGTTTAGGGCGAAGTGTTATTTTTCTGCATCATGAATCTAAGCCACTAAAGCTTTAACTACCCTCATAATTTTAAATCGCTTAATTATTATTAAGACGATGGGCTGACGACATAACCGAAACAACAGGAAAGGTCTGGCATACTATCGACAAGGACAGAGATCAGTGGAAAGGACTGGAGGAGGCCTTCGAGGAGGGGTCCATATCCAATAACAAAAACTAACTCCTACTAACCTATAGACAATAAACAAAACATTATTAACTAACTAAACATTAACAAACAAATACCACATTTGCAATGAAAAGTAAGAATAAGGAAATGCATGCTATTTTAGTTTTTTTTCTTTTTTTTTATTAACTATTTTTTACGCGCTGGGGTTCGGGATAAATTTTTTTATTTTTTTATTGCTTAGATGTGTGGACGAGCTCACAGCCCACCTGGTGTTAAGTGGTTACTGGAGCCCATAGACATCTACAACGTAGACGCGCCACCCACCTTGAGATACAAGTTCTAAAGTCTCAGTATAGTTACAACGGCTGTCCCACCCTTCAAACCGAAACGCATTACAGCTTCACGGCAGAAATAGGCAGGGTGGTGGTACCTACCCGTGCGGACTCACAAGTGGTCCTACCACCAGTAAAAATTATACCGAAGTATAAATTGAAATTGTATTAGCACTTAGAACAACTACAGAACACTTTAAATTTCTTAATTCACTTCTTCCGCTTCGCTTTAGGCAATTCGTTCGCTGTTTCGCTTCGAGTAGTTCCAATTACTAACCAGCTCTGCAACGCTTTTATAGTCGATACGACATCCCTAGAATCGTCGAGAATATTCCACACAAGTCGAATATTGTGTGTTTCCGTTATCTGACAATAGATGGCGTTATACTTCTCGAGCGTTCTAGATGCTACTAGATCCTTCGATATTCGTTATGGTTATTCGGCGATAGATGGCGTTACTCTTACCGGCGTAACTTAATTATTATTAAATATTTATGTTAATTACCTTGACGCCGTACGCCATTTCGTATCCACCTTTACTCTGCATCTGGTTCTGCATAGAGTGGAGAAGCGACGCCGGAATGTCGACATCCGTTGACCCTGAAATACGGTAGGTTGATAATGAATTTCGTGACATTAATGCTTCATTCGAATAACACCCAAGTTTATACTGATAACGCACGACATTGAACGTACTTCGTTCGTGTGAATAAATATACAGGGTGTCCCAGAAAGAATGGATAATCCTGAAACACCTCATAGTAGAGCTATTGGGGACTCAAAAAAAAAATAATCTTAGGCAATATCCACAGGTATCGCACTAAGTTGGAGACGTGTCGTCTGAAGGTATGACCGCTAACATAATACTAGTCCGCTTCCGTTAAGCCACAGTACCTCAAACTATGCAACATTCGAAATATTAAAAAGATCGTAAAATAAATTTTATTGACGTCCACAAATAGCCTCATATATGTAGTTCATAAAAACTAATTTAAATAGAATATTAATACTACTGATACGTCTGTGTTTGCAACACTGTTTTTTTTCATTCCACATTTGACATTCACATTTGAAGAATATTGAATTAATAATAAAATCATTTTAATAAATTTTATCGATTTTATTACTCAACAACTTATTGACAGAAGACAGAAATTTAATTTGTTTATGCATATTTTCGCGGTACCTTGTCATTGCTGGCAAAAATGATTTATTCCACTAAATAGCAGCATGTTATTTTGTGACCAAAGCAATTAGTTTATAAATATGTACTACTTATTGCAATGTATATATTGTTAGAGGAAGTCTGAAAGTGGCACCTGTGAGAGAGAAGCTGAGCAGTGCGCGTTTGGGATGGTATGGACATGTGATGATGACGAAATGAAAATGAGGTTGGTAAGAGAATGTTGACTATGAATGTGGAAGGATATAGAGGAAGGGGTAGACCTAAGAAAAAATGGATGGATTGCGTGAAAGACGATATGGGTAAGAGGGGAGTGAGCGAAGAAATGGTATATGATAGAAGATTATGGAAGGAGAAAATATGTTGCGCCGACCCCAGGTAACTGGGAGAAGAGCAGGATAATGATGACTACTTATTGCAATGTTATCGATCTCATGGTATAGTACTGTTACGGGATGGATTCAGGAGCTCTTTTAAAAAAAAAGGAAACTGTGACTGGCACTGTGTTTATTTTATAAAAGAAATAGTACAAAAGATGTGTGTGTCCGCTACTAAAGCCAAATCTGTTCTGCCGCGCTTTAGTAATAAATCGTCTTTATGTAGAAACGATGCATTCAAGAATGCCTTAGTCTGAATTATTATTTATATAGCGTTATTATTGAGGGGCATATGTAACAGTATCACCGCACGCAGACTTTCGCTGTGAGAATATATCGTAAATCTTTCCATGGACCGGATCATAAATCTCCTCCCACGGAGATGTTAGTTGTAAAGGAGAAACTATACAAGTGATTTAAATTACTTAACGCGTTGAACGCCATATGACAAATCGAGTATTTTCATTCAGACAACCGTGCTCACCGGTTAGCCTATCTTACTGAACCGTTTGCGCCATAAGGGTCACCCGTGAGCCGCGTGAGGGTTCCAACGTAAACGCTTTCTACAAGCCACAGACTGCAGCTATTAAACAAAACGCGTATGTAAATGAGCCGCGTGACCCTTTAGCCCAGCCTTTCCCAAAGTGGGCGATAACGCCCCCTTGCGGGCGCTGTAGTCCTAAAGGGGGCAGCAAGAGACCCAGAAAAAAATGGAGTCGTTGTGTAAAGGCTTGGGAGGCGATTTGTAATTTCATCTAGGAGGACTCTTAGACACCGACTGAGCCCTCGCTATAGTGGTTTTTAAGTGGGTGAAAACCACAGATCATAGAAACACAGTGTGTTTCTCTGGTGAAAACAATGGGGGCGCTATAAAATAATTTATTCTCAAAGTGAGCAATAGACAAAATAAGTTTGGGAGCCTCTGCTTTAGCCGAACGAATGTCTTGGTTTGCACTTTGCTTTAATTCAAATTTTGTACCATGAATCCAGGTCATTAAAGCTCTAACTACTCTGGTAATTTAAATAGCTTTACTTCAATTTTTTGTATTTATTTTTGACTTTAAAAACCCAGCGACGTTTCGCTATAACATAACTATTTCTAAATAGGCATATAAATAATTAGAAGTGACCCAATAAATACTTAAATAACAAATTAAAAATTGTCGATATAAGTGTCATACATTTATTGAAACAGCTCGCACGCCACCTATCACACGTTAATGGCACTATTCTGGACGCTCTCCCTGATTTGGTATTATCGACAACCGGTTTAACTATTGGCTAGTCGAAAAAAATTGCGTAAAAGACACGGTAAAAGATTACGAATTTTATAATTATTACTTGACCTTGACTCTTTAGAGGAAGCGCTATGCTCATGGTAATACGGGTGAAGCCACTTATATACAACGTTGTTCATTTTGCTATCAGCTCCACGCTCAAATGTGTTCGCCTTGGACGAAGGTCGCATCCATTAAAACGATTATAGTGTAGTTTTTAAATTTATCTGGTTTTTCGTGTATGTTTTAGTCGCTTAAGCTGCGTTCAGACTACGCTATACTATAGTACCATATGCTCACTCTAACCGGCGCCATCTAGGCGGGCTTCGGTTAGCTTGCCGACCGAGAGGGCTGGTGGTCGTGGCGCCGACGACCGCCAGTCCGGCGTCCCGAGGGGGAGGGTGATGGGAGAGATGTGCTCCGCACTAAACGCTCCACTTTCCCCCCTTTGCCTTTTCATGAGTTCTGTCTCATGCGAGGTTTGCGAGGTGACCAAAATAAAATAAAATACTATACCATATAGTATAGCATAGTAAGCCAATAATATATAGTACAGCACAGCGTGAACGTGTCCATAACAATGTATGGTGCGCGATATTGTTGGGCTATGAGCTATATACTATATGCTATTATATTATAGCGTAATCTGTAAAGCTTTAGAGTTTAGCACTTTACTATTGCGAAGCCCCGTCCGTGCGTTGCTGGAATAGCCTTGCCTTTTTTTTTATTGCTTAGATAGGTGGACGAGCTCACAGCCCACCTGGTGTTAAGTGGTTACTGGGGCCCATAGACATCTACAACATAAATGCGCCACCCACCTTGACCCATAAGATCTAAGGTCTCAGTATAGTTACAACGGCTGCCCCTTCAAACCGAAACGCATTACTGCTTCACGGCAGAAATAGGCAGAGTGGTGGTACCTACCCGTGCGGACTCACAAGACGTCCTACCACCAATAAAAACCTACCTAAGCTGGCGGTAGCCTTTAGAGGCTATGCCAATGTAGCTGAGCGAGGTAGTGATCTCTAACCCGAAGACGTTACTAACACTAGCCCTAGCAAGAGCCGTGCTTCGCAGAATCTACCACCGGATCGGAAACGCGACCCACTGAGAAGATCCAGCGAGAAACTGTGAGGCGAGAGGCTATGTCTGTGGCTATATTTCCTGGCCGAACTTTGCGTCGCAAGTGACGGGTTCGACGAGAACCGTGACCGGCGAAAAATAGGAGCCCACAGTCAAATAACGCAGGAACTATAAAAACGCCAATGGATCTTCAATCATATTTATTAGTGACTAAAACAGGTATTTAAAAATTACCATTATGATTACGACTAGGAAGAACTTGTTTATAATCTTTATTTAGATAGTTTTTAAGACTTTGTTGGTGATTTCGTTCGTGTTATACGCTTATTGATCACGATGCTATTGATGTTCAATCGATACTGGTGTTTGGGCGTTTTGTGAGTCCACACGGGTTGTTACCAACCACTGCCCTGCCTATTTCTGCCTTTTTTTTCTCTACCTATGCTGATACCCTTGAGAGGCTATTTCAGCTTCACCCTAACGTGTGTAGGTGAGCTCACGGGCTCAAACCGGAGTGTTGCTAATACTGACCCTAGCAAGAGCAGTGCTTCGCAGAATCTACCACCGAATTGGAAACGCGACCCACTGAGAAGATCCGGCAAGTAACTCAGCGGGCTGTGTCTATGGGTTAATTCGCTCGTCGAGCCCTCTGTCGCAAGTGACGGGTTGGACGAGGACGGTGACCGGTGCTTGTGGTACCTAAAAGCACCGTTAATGGACCAGGATTTTTGCCGTGAAGCAGTAATGCATTTCGGTTTGAAGGGTGGGGGTGTTTACTTTGTTATCTGTGAACTCCGGTAACTACTTAACATCAGGGAAGCCGTGAGCTCGTCCACGCATCGAATAAAATAATCGATTTAACGCATCAAATAGTATCGGATAATAAGTCGTGACCGCGGAATAATGCGGATATCCTCGTTCATTGGTTACCTTGAAATCTTTGGTTTTCATAAAATAAATAAATAAAAAAGCGGGCATTGTGTGCATAGATATTTTAAGTTTTACTTTGTTAGCCACGGGCATACGTCATTGTTCTTAAACTAGTAGACACGATTTTTTTGTTGTTGCTTAGATGGGTGAACGAGCTCACAGCCCACCTGGTGTTAAGTGGTTACTGGAGCCCATAGACCTCTACAACGTAAATGCGCAACCCACCTTGAGATATAAGTTCTAAGGTCTCAAGTATAGTTACAGCGGCTGCCCCACCCTTCCAACTGAAACGCATTACTGCTTCACGGCAGAAATATGCAGGGAGGTGGTACCCACCCGCGCGGACACACAAGAGGTCCTACCACCAGTAATTACGCAAATTATAATTTTGCGAAGTTGGTAAATCGTGTATTGGGCTTGCTCGCCGAACGACTCATCTGTTGAACGTGCTCACTCACAACGCATCAAACGACTAATGAACTTTAAATTACACGTGTTAATGATATAAGTAACGTGCTGAATCAAGAATATTCCCAAACAATGCAACCGAATTCAAATGAAAATATGTAAAGATAGCTCTAATTGCTTTATTTCGACATTAAGTGTGTGCGTTGCATTGTTTTTATTATAATAGTGATTTCTAGGTCTATTGGACGAATGATTGTTTTGTGTTGTAATAAAGCCGGCTCTCATTCTAAATTGTATATTATAGCTGGTTTTATTAAAAACTAGCTTTTTTTTTTATTGCTT